AGATCCGCTCCGGCTTCGGTGTAATGTAGATACTATTAATACTACTAATATGGTGTCAGTGTGGAGTAGTTAATTATACTATTATTATGATAGGACTATGCTACAGGATATTCTTTAAATGCAATATTTATTAGCCGGCTCCGATCCTGTCGGCCGCTGCCACCCTGGACGGACGTACGGCTCGACGCGTTGGGCCCCGCATTTTAAACCTATAATATCTTCTAAAATATTCATTTTAATGATATGCTGTAAAGAGCAATTTTAATTAGTTTAAAAGAAGAAGAAGAAAAAAAGCGACTTGATTTTATCCTATGTAAAGATCAGTCTTTTACATGACTATATCAACTTATATATGTTATTTTTAGTTATTAGTTAGTGTGTTTAAACGCACTGATGTTAAGCACCATCTAATCTCATAACATTTTTTCTCGTGGATACTATTTTGATTAAGAAAAATCGGAGATATTATCGTTGCCCTAAACATTACAATACAGAAAAAAAAAAGCTTAGGTTACCTACTCTTAAAAACTTTTGACACTACGGCAAGTCTGAATATCTTGAGTTTATAAAAATCTTTTAAAATTGTTTGAAATCTTCTGCTACGTAATTACTCAGTCGTAGATTAACACACACAATATCAACAATATGTTTTGTCAAATATTTAGCAAAATATATATATACTTATATATATTTTACCTAAAATCTAATAGCCTGTGCCGATCTACAAACGATCGTTATCAAGAGGTTGAGACTTATGAGAAGAAAGGGCAAACAGGCTCACGGTAAATTATGAGTCAACCGATACATACATACTCGTACAATCATTAAATTACATCACAGATCTCACACACGGCCGACTGATCCCAAACTAGGCAGAGCCTATACTATGATAACAGGACTGCTGATAAACATACTTATATATTTCTAAATTCATACATATTATAGATAAATTACACTAAGACACAAACAAATCGCAGTGCTCTACGAACTAGACCAACAAGCCCATTGTTGTACCGTGCAATGAAACCACTATCTATACATGTATGTTTGTTTACTAGTTTTATCGCATTATCGCAATTAGAATGCTTTGAACGCATATTTTTGTAACTGATAGGAGCATTGTTCACGAAAATTGTTTTATTTGTATCATAATTATTTTAATTCTCGTTAGCTGCTGCACTTTTGGTAGTTTGACCCTTATTGGTAATTTGTCATCAGTTCCGTGTGGTGACGGATTGAGAATACGGAATGTCATCACCCCTATTCATCCCGTGGGTGTCGTAAGAGCCGACTAAGGGAACACACTGTACAGGACAACAGCACTGCAAAAAGAAGGAAAACTTGAAACAAACCCTATACCAACCCGTCTGGCCAGCGTGGTATAGTAGGCCAAAACCTCCTTTCTAAGAAGAGGCCTACGTCCAGCAGTGGACTATTATGAGCTGTTGATGTGATGGTAATTTGTCATAACATATATTGTTTGTTTAGTACAAAGGGAGTGGAGTTTAATATTCTATAATTACTTATTTTTTAATATCGGCAACTGACGGCTAAACTAGTGTCCAACAAAGACACTAGTTAACCCGCTAACATAATTAGACAAAACCACAAACAACGCTAACAATATTAATTAAACATTTGATACGATAAGGCGTGTGTCTAATGAAAGTAATCATGATTAGTGACAAAAACAATTAAATTCCCCTTTGTTTTAATATCTATAAATATTATCTTATAATTCCGTTAGATACGTTTTGTTTTAGGTAATTGTAAGGACCAGTAGATTTTCATTTTTGTAATGATTTGTCCATCCATGCGCTGAGAGCACGCGTGCCTTTTCCGGAGCACAAAGGGGACATAAGGGTTCCCACACTGGAGCGGGTACGAGGTGCGTTGGGGTACCAGGGATTACCTATCTAGGGTACACCAGGTTCCCGGTAACTGGTACCCGAGACGGCGTGCGGTTTTTGGTCGGTTCGACATACCATCCGACCGGTGGGTGGTATCTGAGGGGATTTTCGAACAGGAAAAAAATAGTGGAGTCAGATATTCCGGTAATAGTCAATTAGAATAAAAGGTCTGACCAGGACATAAATAGCTTACGCTCTCCAAGTCTCCGCCTACCAGGCATGACTGAACTTAGCTGGAAGGATCAGGCCTTAACTGTTGGTCACACAGCTTACTCCGTTTCGTTCCATTACTCTACTGTACAATTTTATAAAGTACCTACTAGTATATTTAATTTATTAATAATCACCGTTTCTTGTAATTAAACCTCTTTATTAAATGATGTCCTACTTGCTTTTGCTCACGACTTCGTCTGTGTAGAGGTCGACATCAGACATCGTAGAGGATACCCTACTACTAAAAATATTGATAGTTTTTATATAAATTTCCAACTCCCATTTTGCACCCCCAATTGCAGCTGTGAGTTGATCGATCACTCTGTCAATTTCTTCTTTTATAGATACATATTTCACTTGTTTTCAAGGAATACATTTTTGAAACACAAAGAAAAAAACAAAAGTGAAATTGAACTGCTTGTATAAGTCGGTTTTGTGGGCAAAGTGCCAGAATCCGGACAGCTGTACCTAATTTTAAAACTATTAGAGGAAAATATATGTTTTTCTGTTTCCGCAATAACCTTTTGTCATATATCCAATCGTCAGTTTTATAATACCGTTTGTGAGATGTTGCTAATGTATATAAATAAATATAAATATTTCTAATTCTCTTGGAACGAGTCCAAGATATATACTCGCGGTATATATTTTAAATACGGACACAGGTTCACATGTAATGTAGCAACGGGTATCGACCCTTTTTTTTTTTTGTTTTCTGTGCGGAAATGCCGGTGGTTGTGTCGGACTCGAACCGACTAAAAACCGCACGCCGTCTCGGGGATTAGTTGCCCGGGAACCAGGTGTACCCTAGGAAGTAAATCCCTGATACACGGGTATCGACCCGAGAGCAATTTCCCTGATACAAAATATCTAAAATACCTAATAATTGAACCTTTTTTTTTCCGTGCGGAAATCCCCTCGGATACCACCTGTCGGTGGCATGTCGGACTCGAACCGACTAAAACCGCACGCCGTCTCGGGTACTAATAGCCGGGGAACCAGGTATACCCTAGAATTAATAATTGTACCTGAAGAGGCGTGAAGCGCTACCGGCATGATTAGTATAATGATATGATATAATAGGTTGTCACCTTATAACGTTAATTAAAGAACCGGCCAAGGGCGAGTCGGACTCGTGCACGAAGGGTCCGTACCATTATCCATAAAAACGGCAAAAAAATCATGTTTGTTGTATGGGTCCCACTTAAATATTTATTTTATTCTGTTTTTAGTGTTTGTTGATATAGCGGCAATAGAAATACATTATCTATGAAAATTTCAACTGTCTATCACTATGTTCATAAGATACAGCCTGGTACGGACGGACAGACAGACAAACGGCCGGACGGACTGCGGAGTCTTAGCAATAGGGTCCCGTTTTACCCTTTGGGTACGGAACCCTAAAAATAATGACCGCATTATTTTTTTAGGCGTAACCATGATGAAAGACGCTTTTCCAGGTTCATTTCTCAGCAGTTATGTATGTTACAGTTAGAACTATTAAACGGTTTAAACGGCATTGGGCAATAATACCTATGACTGCTACGTCAGATACCAAGCGTTAAAACAGTGACTATTAACGATCTAGATTCCTCTATTTTTTGGTGAATCATTTGGGTGAGATGAGAACAGTAGCATGTTGCGGTAACAAGTACTTTTTACAGATTTGGCCTGTTACGAATTCTGCCGGTAACATATACATGCTGTACTGTGCCCAAATATTAAGTAGACAAAAGTGTTTTATTTAACTAACTTTAAAGATGATTTTTACTAATATTACTGTTTGAAGACGGTTTAGTTAATAAAATAAAACAGGCTAAAGACGCGAAAGTTTGGGCGAAAGACGCGTTCCGGCGTGATTGAGTTACAAACATCCACCATATTTGCAACTTTACTCAAGTTAAGAACGCGAGAACGGCTCTGGATGAAATTTAACACACACTGTGGCCTTTTGTCCGGGAAGAATTTATTGACGACATTAACACAAGTGAAGTCGCTGGAATAAGTAACTCTAATAGGAATCAGTTGGAATTCATAGTGTTGGTACTAAGGATCTCGACCTTTTTTCATCAACAGCCTATACTAGTCCACTGCTGGACATAGGCCTCTCCTTAGAAAGGAGGTTTTGGCCTACTATACCACGCTGGCCAGACGGGTTGGTATAGGGTTTGTTTCAAGTTTTTCTTCTCTTTGCAGTGCTGTTGTCCTGCTTAGTTTGCTTCTTTAGTCGGCTCTTACGACGCCCACGGGATGAATTGGGGTGGTGACAATTTGTATTCTTAATCCGTCACCACACGGACAACAGCCAGATTGATCTCGGACAAAAAAAGGGCGAGATCTCGCGAGAATGAGATTGCAATCGAGCATAAAAACGTCTTATTCGAAGCGCGGACTGACACGGACGGAGTTGCGATCTGTCGGTTTCGTCCGGTGCGCGGGAGGCGGCGGCCTCCGTTAGCGGTCGCGGGACTAGGAGTCTCTCAGTAAAATTTTACACAAGATAAAATTTTATTACTAAAAGATAAAGACTTGTTGATATTAGAAGAGAAGACTGGTTGTTTCTTTCATTTGTTATTTATACGTCAAAGTTTACTACTTAGATGTTTATTAAAAAAATATAGACAGATACGCCAAACAGTGTTTGATGCATAAAAGTCTATAAAAAACACCTGAAAATGAATGATTATCTTATAATACTCTTTTTTTGTTCCTAATTTATTCAAATATTGTGATTATTTGCAAAAAAAAACCCACAAAACTGCCAATCTCGCCAGAATTCGAAATTGACGAGATCTCGCAGTATTGTTATTCATAAACTCGCGGGATCTCGCTTGAGCCCCAATCTCGCGAGATTTGCATTCCATAGTTGGTACTAACCTGAGCGCCTTGCTGGCCGGCTGCTCGATTATCCGCACGTAGGGCTGCTGCTCCATAGCAGTGAATGACGGGTCCGCCAAGCTGATAGCTTCAACTACAACAAAGATTTGCTTCATTAATATTTAAACTACAAAATACTGTATGGAACTTGTGCTCTCAGTAAAAAAAAATGTTGTTGGTTTGTGTACTCTTCAAAAACTCAAAAAGTTCTGCACCAATTGAGCTCAAATTTTATCACAATATAGAAACCGATTCAAAGATATTTTTTTTCTATTTTTCGCTTCTTCTTAGCTTAGCTAGTTTTTTATATTTATTTTGTAATTGTTTGCTGTTTGTAATATTCCTGACTTAACGGATGGCCTGTTGGTCTAGTGGTTAGGGACAGTGCTGAGCCAGAGGGTATGATTCCCACCTAGGACAAATATAAATAGGATTGTGTGATGAGCACGACCATTTGTTCTGTGTCTGGGTGTCATTTATCTAGAATATGTATGTTCTTAGAAATATTTCGGCTGGCCTTTATGGCGGGTGGAGGGGAAAACCCGTCCCGTCCACCAGCGGCCCCTCTTAGGGCGGCATAAGGCGGTGGAAGCGTCCTCACTGCAATTGCAGTAATCGTAAGCGAGACTCAGTTCCGTGTGTGCAGTGCACACACGGTATTGAGTCTCCGTGTGTGCAGGCACTTCCCGAAGCAGCCGTGCCCGGAAAGGACCTGCGTCAGCCGGAAGGAAAGGGTCTCGTGCTGCCGCCCTGCCCACTCGACGATGACCGGTTGAAGAGCAGTCTGGCTACTATAGTACAGGCTCTGTCTAGTTTGGGATCAGACTGCTGTATGCGAGATTTGTCAAGTTAATATTATTATTATTACATCTCTTTATGCGTCGCTGAGTTTACAAAATACTGTATGGAACTTGTGCTCTCAGTAAAAAAAATGTTGTTGGTTTGTGTACTCTTCAAAAACTCAAAAAGTTCTGCACCAATTGAACTCAAATTTTATCACGATACAGAAACCGATTCAAAGATTGTTTTATTTTTTTATTTTTCGCTTCTTCATTTCTTATCAGTGCAATCAGTAATTGTTTGCTGTTTGTAATATTCCTATTCCTATTACATCTCTTTATGCGTCGCTGAATTTTTTGAGCTACTGAAGCCTTAGTACCATAAAATGCTTAGTAGTTTTACACGTGGCGCTGACCCCAAAAAATTGTGAAAAGAGCAGGAAGTTGATGATTATGAATTGGTATTGTTTTTGTTGAAAACGCTGTCCGGCCAGGTTTTTTGATGCTGTTTCTGATCGTAGTTATTGTAATATTTCCACGGGATCGAAAACGATTGCCAGGTTAACTAAACAAGTTCAAAAGTACGTTAGCAAGGGTGTCAGCATAGCCGTGGGAGAGCCACGTTTCGGAACAAACGGACCGCGCTCGACCGGTGATACCACGGCCTCACAGAAAAACGGTGTTGAGCTATTCTTTCGTCGCTTTTGAGTGAGCGAGTGGGTGATTAAGTGAGTGAGTGAAGTTAACGCAGAAACCCCCTCCCCGCTGCCACAAACTCCCCATAAACTAATTGGCTCAAATGGCGTACCTGTATCATAAAAAACTAAATATGCTTCGTGTGCTTTTGTGAAATGTTTTATTAGACCGTTTATAATACTAAAACTACGCTTTTCATTCATATATTATGTTATTGCTTTGCGTAAGTGTTAATCAAAACTAACGAATACCATAGTAGGTGAGTCAGAACGAAGAAGAAATGAAAATGATGATACTTACACACATCACTAATATTCAACGGCTCACCATTCTGGCCATCCTCTAGAGGTAATACAGTTTCTGAAAGAAAAACAAATACACACTAAATAGGATGTCGCTTGGTTATTAGAAAATTGGCTGATCACTATTCGTGAACGAACAAATGAAAATCCAAATTAATCATCTTTATAACACTTAACAATCAGAAAAACAATTCTCGTAATAAAAATCCGTTTGAAATTCAGTTCCGATATCATAAGTGTCATGAAAGGTATTCTCGCAGTATTAACATGTTTAACATTCAACGTTGACTGTAATGTGATTACATCGTGTTGTGATCGAAAGTTAAATTTGGTATTCTGCTATTCTTAGTAATACTTAACGAGACTATTACGAGAATATCATTTATGACATTTGTGAGATGGAGAGTAGTATGGAAATGATTTTAGAACGTATTTTTATTACGAGAATTGACCTTCTGAAGTATCATTGTTGTACACACAAAGGACTTGTCTAAAGAGAATACTCCTTCATTTCAGAGTGGAAATTTCTAACTTGACAATAAAAATAACTGACACATGAATAACGATCTATTTACAATTCAACCATTTAACTAAATTACATGTAACATCAAAAAAAAATTGTCCCACTAAACAACATACAGGGCAAGCTCCATAAAACCACTTAAAATAGTTAAAAAAATACTTTTTGAATGCGTTAACTTCTACGATATAAACTAAAGTCAATAACCAATAGCCAGCTGGATACTTAGAGGTATAATATAAACTTAATGGACAACAATTAGCTTAATACACTCTTTTTTTATTTTAGTATGTCTGCTTAACCAGACTGACTGAAAAGACTTTTGGCATTAAGTCGAAAAATATTTGAATGAGGTTTTAATAAATCGTCCAAAAAAATATGTATACAATGCAAAATAGGCTTCAAATAAGTTTCTAGTTGGCTTTAGGTTTCCTCTAGAGAGATGTAATTAATAATTAAATTGCTAGGTCGGAATCGGCACCATTTAAACCATCAGCTAAAACATTTTGTACCTATATTTCTACACTACGGCAGCTAGACATGAAAAGCGTGATCAGAAAGGAAAGATAATAAAGCTGTGTGCGTTACCCCAGCAAAATAATGTCGAAAATGGTCATTTAAACGTTATAGATAATTAGTTGCTCCCCTTCTGTAATTGTTAGGCACATTTTTAAATTTGTTTCTCTTAAACTTTTTTAGTTATTTCAAAAAAACATTTCCTGCTGGGGTAACGTTTGAAACGTTACCGCAGCCAGACATTTTCTTTTTTAATTGTAATATTGAAATAAATTTTAGCTAAATAATTAGTTATCTGGACTAGGTAAATGTTACAACTTATTTGGTATTTGTAGTTTCTTCGGCTGCGTAGTTATTCGAGATCCTGCTGGAGTAACGTTTGTGGGTTTGCTGGATCTCTGAAACGGGTAAGCGGGTTGTAACCATCTTTTGTACATAACTTCTTAAGGATTAGTTTTAATTTGTTCGATAATAAAATAACAAAAATAATATACCGTTTAAAAATTATTTAGGTAAGTATGAAAACACTTCAATACGTCCTAACACTTTGAATAAGACCTCTAAAGACTTACTTCAAACGTTATTCTATTGCTTGTAACTACCCTAACCTTCAAATGTATACGAATTTTTGTAAGTATACTGTAAGTGACTAAAAAGTTATGATGAAATGTGGCTCTCCACGTTCACGATCACAATGTGTGTGGCCCTTTTTGGCCACCGGTAAACCTGTGTGTGGATATATAAACTGAATGTTATGCCAATAATTAGTTGTTTAGTTCAGTTGTCTACCTGTAAAATTTCAGCGTAGTACATATAATAATTTACGAGATAATTAAATAAAAGTCATTAGAAGGTGCAAGACCGTGGTAACCCGACCATGTTTAGGTGGTTACAAAAAAGCGATCACCCAGTACATTGTGTTAGCTTTTAAAATATGTAGGATAATATTTGCAAGTTTACTACGGATATGTACATAAGTGTTACAAAAAACTACGTTTTTTAAATAATTTTTATTTAGGATTGTTTATTGCATAAGTAATTAGTAATCAGCCGGGAGATTAGGTATTGTTTTGAATGCTTTTGTTTTCTCGTAATGTTTAGGTGAATTGTTTATAGTTGTTCATAGAATTGGTACCTGTGTAGTATTTGTTAAATGAAGTTTAATTTTAGGGTAGGTATAGGTAATTTAAGTTTTGAAGAGTGTAACGTATGCGTTGTAAATAAGTATTTTGTGAATAGATGGGGATTTTTTTAAAGTGATGAATCGACTTAGGCTAGCATATCGCGAACAAACTCTGTATTGCATTATTTCTGTAATAATGTTGGAGGAAATAAAATATTTGATCACAAAATCGCGGTGAGTTAAATTATAATAAAATAAATTATTTATGTAAAATTATTAATAAGTGATATACCTACCTACAAGTTATGATCGTTTTTAATTTGTTCACCCTGAACGAAATTTCAATATTAGCATTAGTAATTAATATCCTAAGACAAGAATTGACAATTACTTAAATTGAATCGAATTAGCATTAATGCCCATTATTAGTAATTAGGTACACACATATTGAAGAACTCTCAAGAATACGATAAATATTTGCAAAAATAGAAAGCAGAAGCGCACACACACTTTACAAGACGTATATTATCTGCCTAAGGGTCAAGTTTAGTGCACTAGATGCAAATTGCAAACAATGAAGTATCCCTTCGCCCCTCCCCTCCCGCGTTCTAGCGAAGGATGTATTATCGGCAATTCTTGATTGACAAATATTATCTGACCAATAATTTTATCTATAAAAATGTATCACTTTCACTCGATAAATTAAATAACCGTAATTATATCAAAATATCATTCAACAACTGTTCGTTTTTAACAGAAATCAACAGTCACGGGCTCAACGCTTAGCGTAGGTACATAGGTATAGATAATTCTCGGTTCTCGGTAATGACCACAGAACAATATTACCTACTCTTACGAGGTATGCCACTGTTGGGCGATGCAATGTTGATGCATTCTAATTTACATCTGTATTCTTCTACTATTCGGTCTATTTTAACTTATTGGAGATGACTTGTTGCTTTAAATATTTTGATGCATTCAAGTCTAAGCTCTATACACCTCAAAATAAAATACAATTACTTTAGTGTTATTTCTTTACAAAAAAAAAATCAAAGAAATGAAACGATTTCTTATTGGTTTAAATTTTAGATTTATTGCAGTCAGGTGAATCGTTCATACATGTATCTACATATTTATAATTTTAGAAGACCAGTGCAGATTTTCTGTTGATTGTAGCTCCGGTAGTTAAAAAGACTAAAGAAATTTTAAGTAAAGAAACTAGTGCTTAAGATCAATTAGGAAAAAAAAACAAAATAAATAATAGGTAATAATAATGAATAAATATTGAATGTATTTAACACTGTACGCAACTGTACCGAAATCGTAAGGTGTATTACACTAAACATTTTAAAAGACAGCGCAATGTACTGGGTGATCGCTTTTTTGTAACCACCTAAACATGGTCGGATTACCACGGACTTGCACCTTCTAATGACTTTTATTTGATTATCTCGTAAATTATTATATGTACTACGCTGAAATTTTACAGGTAGACAACTGAACTAAACAACTAATTATTGGCATAACATTCAGTTTATATATCCACACACAGGTTTATCGGTGGCCAAAAAAGGCCGCACACATTGTGATCGTGAACGTGGAGAGCTACATTTCATCATAACTTTTTAGTCACTTACAGTATTCTTACGAAAATTCGTATACATTTGAAGGTAGTTACAAGCAATAGAATAACGTTTGAAGTAAGTCTTTAGAGGTCTTATTTAAAGTGTTAGGACGTATTGAAGTGTTTTCATACTTACCTAAATAATTTTTAAACGGTCCATTATTTTTGTTATTTTATTGTCGAACAAATTAAAACTAATCCTTAAGAAGTTATGTACAAAAGATGGTTACAATCCGCTTACCCGTTTCAGAGATCCAGCAAACCCACAAACGTTACTCCAGCAGAATCTCGAATAACTTCGCAGCCGAAGAAATTACAAATACCAAATAAGTTGTAACATTTACCTAGTCCAGATAACTAATTATTTAGCTAAAATTTATTTCAATATTACAATTAAAAAAGAAAATGTCTGGCTGCGGTAACGTTTCAAACGTTACCCCAGCAGGAAATGTTTTTTTGAAATAACTAAAAAAGTTTAAGAGAAACAAATTTAAAAATGTGCCTAACAATTACAGAAGGGGAGCAACTAATTATCTATAACGTTTAAATGACCATTTTCGACATTATTTTGCTGGGGTAACGCACACAATAAAGCTTGATAGAACCAGAAACCCAAAAAAAAATAGTTTCAGAAACAATATGTAATACATGTTATGTAATTACACAGGTTCAGGCAATATCAATACGTGCAGAAAATTCTTTGGGCCTATTTTAACGAACCTGGCGCGCATATTTTAAATACTTACTAATGTGTAGAAGATTATTAATAATATTTAAAACTATCTGTGTAGCGCCATAACCCTTTCGAAATCCAGTACATTTTTTATCTGTCGTGGCACCAAAGTCTTATGACACTTCAAGTTATACTAAAAAGGACATTCAAATTAGTTGTAATTCGTCCGTCAGGCGATCTTTAGCTAAAAGTTACTTCTTACAGGCAATCTTTAGATGAGAACAGTCGTCGTCGAAACATTCGGTAATCTAAAAGGTATCGTATCTTTTAGATAATAAGCGACGAAGCCCCGATTTACACGTCTATCGATACTAACAACATCAGATATTAATCTACGTACTACGGTTTTGAAGTACCAACTTCCGCACACGTTACATGTGTATTGTGCTCCGATTAACATAATTTTGTATGTTTATTCAAGATATATATTCAAAAAAACTTTAACCTTGCCGAAATATTATTATCTAACGTTTATCTTGTTTAGAATAAAATTGAATAGGATGACCTAACAAAAATATCGTCTAAAAAATACGCTGAATTTGTTTTTTTTATGGTACAGGTTAAAAGGAGAAGCAGTCTGCGCAAAGGAGCCACTGATACTGGAATATTCTTATTTATCTGGAACAGACTATCGAATACTAGGGATCATTCTAGTTAATTTGATAGCGCTATAAAAGCGGAGCGTGTTAGCCGTACGACACAGTACCGTTTTACGACACAGCGAAGTAACATCGAAGTGAATTTAGTGCGACTAACGAGTTATATAGTGATTTCTTGTTTGTGATTTCTTTATAGTGAGTTTGAAAATACAGTGCATTAAAAGTAATTAACCGACAATTTTTATTTATTATATCCCCCAGGTAACAGTATGACGTGTGGTGAAGGATTAAGAATCCGTAATGTCACCACCCCTATTCAAACCGTGGGTGTCGTAAGAGCCGACTAAGGGACCAAACTACGCAGGACAACAGCACTGCAAAGAGAAGGAAAACTTGAAACAAACCCTATACCAACCCGTCTGGCCAGCGTGGTATAGTAGGCCAAAACCTCCTTTCTAACGAGAGGCCTATGTCCAGCAGTGGACTGTTATAGGCTGTTGATAATGATGTTGATGAACAATATGACAGCTGCGTAGAAGTCTCTGTTACACATGGTATGTAGCTGTAGTAGTAAACAACCTCTGTTTACACGCCGCGCTGGTTATAAGTGCGTAGGCACTCAACATACGACTTACTGAGTTGATCAACAGTGACTAGTCAGGTGCCATTGTGTTACTGACATCCTCTGATAGTTATCTTATCTAATGGTTATTCGACTTAATAAACAGTAATAATGTTTTTTTTTCTGCGAAGAAAAAATCTACCGGTTTAACATTAAGTCGGTGGCTAACGTTCTTATGTCATCATCATGATTTACTTGACCTAATTTTAATTGAGATCATATTGCAAAATTTTGCTTACAGTTTTGATTGGATCTTTTATGGCCCGGTCGTCTGTCTGACGCCAAGCCTCTTTAGGTTCTTTTTTCAGATGGGAGAGGAAAAATGTAAATTTGGGTGGGGAATTTGGGGGTGAGGACGCTTGGGTAAGGGATGGCGTAAGTCTCTTCTCTTTCATTTATAGCATGAGGCAGCAAACGAGCACACGGGTCACCCGATGGTAAGTACCTACCGAGTCACAAGTGCGTTGCCAATATTTGAGTCTTCTCCCCAGAATCAGGGGGTGGTTGGGTTTGGGACTGGTAATCTCTCACTCAGTGAAAAGCAATATTTCCTAACACTCTTTTTGGTGTGAGGCCGATGTATTACTCCGGTCCAGCCGGCCTACTTGTGCTGAAGCTTGGCTCTCCCACGGTAAAAAAAATGGAGTCGCATACCAGGTCAATCCTGTGATTGGAGAGGATACAAACTAACTGACTTGACTGTACGGATAGCGTAGTGGTTTAAGCGATCGCCACGCTGCTTCCCATTGCGCTGAGTGTTGTGGATGCGATCCTCGCATGAGACACCACTCTGTGTGATCCACAAATCGTTGCTCTGAGTCTGGTTGTTATTTGTGGCCGTTTCATATATGTTTGTAAAGTCCCCCGCGACACAGGATATTTACTCCTAATGCGGGAGTTGACTTTTATAAAAAAAAAGCATCAACTAGCAAGTGTTTTCATGAGGACTTAAGAATAACTGTAAACAAGTTGCTGGGAAAATCGAATAGTTAACCTTTTATCTAAATTCTGACCTGACCAGCGAATATCACCGATAAGTTTTTAAATAAATGCTTCGTGTGTATACTTGTGTAACAGCAGAATTCCGGCATAGTAAATATAAGCCAAATAAGAGTTGCTACTATGCAAAAAAAAGCGATATTGAAAAGACGGTGTAGTAAGTTCAAACTCAAGACAAGACATTGTATATGGGATAAATTTTAGTGGCTATTGTTATAATATGTTCATTTAATAGTCTTGTTAATTTGTATAATGGTGATTCCGTTGATATGTTCCATATTTTTTTACCCACAGTTAAGAAATCTGTCCATAGCTGTCTTGTTCCTCCTAGAAATAACTAAAATTACTATCTGTAAAATTACTATACATTTTGTTTTTCCTAAAATGTTTTTACTATATTTACTTTTAAATGTTATCACTCTCGTTTTTCAACTGATATTTAATTACAAGTAATACCTAAAATGTGCTCTGTTTGTGTGTTATATTACAGTGCAATATTAGTGTTATATTAAAGCCATTGTCAACGATGACAGCTTTTTGTTTTGTGATTATTTATTTAAAGTTAATGCACATGTTGTACAGTCGGAGTATATGCCACGACGCATTCTCCCCCAGTCGACCTTCGGGTGATGTAGATGTGGTACGTGTTTACTAGCGGAAGATATATTTTCTGTTTTTTTTCTAGCCACCCGGATGTTTTCTCAATACGGAAATACTCTAAGGAACTTGTATGATATGTGAATTTGGGATGCTCGAGAAAGTCAATATCCTTGGCACTTTTACCACACTTCTTTACATAACATCATCATCATCATCAACAGCCTATACTAGTCCACTGCTGGACATAGGCCTTTACATAACTCTGTCTTAGAATATATTTTTTTCAAGACAACTCCCGCATTAGGAATATATCCTGTGTCGCGGGGGACTTTACAAACATAGATGAAACGGACACAAAGAACACCCAGAGTCAGGACAACAATTTGTGGATCACACAAAGTGTCGTAGTAGTAAGCGGCGTGGCGACACGCTTAAACCTCTACGCCATCCAGGCAGTCAACTTTAACTTTAACTTTGTAGAAGGAATTGTCCTTATATTATTCAAAAGACCAAAGGAAAGGACAGTGTCAAACGGAATAATGGAAAAATATGCAAGTGAAAATTCTGCATGTGTACGGTATTAGGTGGAAGCTTTTGGTAATAGTCTTATCTAGAAGTGGTTTATTACTATTTGAATTCACCAATCAACTTTGATCAAGCTTTGTCATAATAAAAAAAAAAATACATTACAGTACGTTTATTTAGATTGTTTGAAGGGGTTCTTTTAACCTTAGAGTAATGAAACATGTATAATAAGTACTGTGGACTATATAAAGTCAGAACCAGTTCCAAATGGATGTAAATACTAATATACTTTGCAAAATGATACATTTCATTAACCGCCATTTAAATGGTTGTAAGAAAAATATGTACAATTTACAAAAATAGTTCAAGATGAATAGTTGGAACGAGTCGACTAAAAACACTGCACTATGTTTTTCGTGCAAAGTACAGGAGTGATGTAGATTATGGATTAGAATAATACATAGCCTACAATCGAAAAACTACTGGCCAAATTGTAAATAGGCCAAAATATAACGATAAGTGTTAAGGAAGTTGGAAAAAGAATCGCTGTCAAGGAGTTATCAAGGCGTACGTAAACCGTTTGCTAAAATGATCTTTTACGAGTATTATAAATACGGACACGTCTTCTTTGGCGTTAGTTCAGTTTGAGCTACAGTGCAATAAACTTGAATTGATCACTCCGGACTATTCTTCAGTATTGTGTGAACGTTTTCAAGTGTAGTGATAATAAAGTCTCTTAAGTCGCAAGAAGCTTTATTATTCCAAATCAACGAAGCCTAACACGTAACAGTATTATGGGATTGGTTTTCTTAGAGATTATTAATGACATTACATTTTCTATGGATTATTTTTAATAAACTACAGACCTAAAGTAACGGGTCTACCAATAGGGATGACCTGGTTTTGACAGCTCATAGCGGCCATGTTTGAAGATGGATCTTTGACGTCTCTTGACATTTGTGTTCAGTAAGGTTTGCCATTTTATCATGTCACGTTTCACTTTAAACCAACGCTTGGAAATTGTCAAAAACTTATTTGAAAATGACAAAGGAAACCCTGTTACTGTGAATGGCGAGCGCTATAACTCGATGTTAACCGAATATTTATTTCCGGAATTTGATGATATTGATGCAGACGACCTTTATTTTCAACAAGACGGTGCACCACCTCACATTACTCGAGTGAACATGGAATTATTGCGTGGAAAGTTTGGTGAGTCGTTAATTTCGAGAAATGGACCGATCAGTTGGCCACCAAGATCGTGTGATTTAACACCTTTAGACTATTTTCTTTGGGGTTTCGTTAAATCTAAAGTGTACAGCAATAATCCAGCTACAATTCGTGACCTAAAAACCAACATTCTACGAGCCATAGCCGACATACCGGCCGAAATGGTGCACCGTGTCATCGAAAATTGGCGTGAGCGGGTGACCGTCTGCAAAAAGAGCCGCGGCGGTCATTTGGCCGATATATTATTTAAAACATAAATTGCATAGAATTATCTATCAAATAAATCAATCGGATGCATTTTTCATAAAAAATTTGAGTGTTTTATTCAATTTTTAAACCAGGACGTTCTTATTGGTAGACCCCATAGATAACTTCGACTTTAAAACTTAGATATGTTTTTAAGAAAAAACAATAATATAATATAAATAATCAAGCAATATTCACATGAAATAGAGTGTTAGCAAGCAATATACGATATTGGTAAAACAGTTTGAATAAAATTAGAATTTGTCTATTTTATTAATCACTCTGTACTTCGGCAACAATATTTTTTCTAAGTAAAAAAAAAAAACTTAGACAGTAATATGTAATTACTTCAAGACTTCGTGTTTTAATCAAACACGAAATATTAAAGTAATTACATATTTACGAAAATATATCTCATAATCAGTACCTTAGTAACGCCAAAATGTGAAACCAAATTTTTACGACTTACGAGGTCTAAGAACTGCCAGGAGTCTTCTCCGAGACTCTTCCTCAGGGTCTGAAGAGCACCTTTTATAAAAACGATACACAGATACATCCATCCTGTTGCTCTTAAAAACATTACACGGTTTAGAATATTATAATTACGGACACGCCACAGGGTTTTTATCCACTCTGTGATCAAGAAAGCTATATTTCTTCAACGCTCCGGGATTTAAGCTGCCTACGTTTACAGTTGTAAATAACAGTGCTACACCCAGTGTAGGCTAAGATCAACTGAGTAATTCATACGCTGATGAAAACAACAAACATTGGGAGTTGAGATTAATGCGAAACGTGATAACGTCAATAGGTATTATTTAATATACGCTAGTGTGTACATAATAGAACTCAATATTGTAAAATACGTTCAATTATATGGAATTTGTACCAGAACATTATCACTGACGAAAATAATATCAGTTGTAAGTGTGAATTGAAAAGAGTCAAAGCGGCCAAAGTTGCCTGATAGTCGAAGGTTAATCAGAAATTTAAATTTATTTCTCTCTAAAAGTTTTACCATGATTCTTGAATATGTGGCAAAACCTATGACCAAAAACAGTATGGTATTATCAGTTACAGTGGGATTTGCTTTGAACCCAAATAAAATGGGAGAAATCCACCCTGTTGGACTGCCACTGGGACTCACGAGTTTCAATAACGTAAAAGAAATGTTCTTTTTTGTTTGGAGCTAGGTATATCTTTAAAGATGGGCGGGAATAACAATTTTTTTTCGTTTATTGTGTACAGTTCTACTAATATCTATAAAATTAAAGTCGAAGTGAAATAGTCCTTATATTTTAGCTTTTGGGCACTCTTTTCTTCCAAAAAATGACTTTTACCAAATAGTTCTGTATTCAAATTTCTCAGTAATATCATTAAAGACATTATTCATAAACACGACAAAATTATCACAACACTGATCACTTAAAGTTACTTAGGTTTCGGAGTTAGGGTGTTTTCTGTGTATAATATGAATGTATGTACAAAAAAAGTTTAATATAAGTATTCTATCAGTCAATCTAGCTTTCATAGTACAAGCTCTTAGTTTGAAACTAGATGGCGTTGTGTGTTAGATGTCCGAAAATATTAATAGGTACAAATTCTTTCCACCACCACCCCTCCTATTCATCCCGTCGAAAACCGAATAAGGGAATAAACTACGCAGGACAACAGCACTGCAAAGAGAAGGGAAACTTGACACAAACCCTATACCAACCTGTCAGCACGCTGTCAGCGTGGTATAGTAGGCCAAAACCTCCTTTCTAAGGAGAGGCCTATGTCCAGCACTGGACTATTTAAGGCTGTTGATGTGATGATGTCAAATTCTTTATGGCAACTTTCAAATTCAACTTATCGTCACCCCTAAAAGCAAACATCTCTGTTAAAATTTATTGCATATTTATGATTATATTAATAACGTATTTGTCTTTAATAAATGCTTAAACATTTCATCATATGCCTACCCTTTTCCCAATTTTATTTGGGGTCGGCGCAGTATGTATGATTTTCCATTCTACTCTGTCATGCGTCATCTCACTGTTTACTCCCTTCCTAGCCATATCCTCCCTGACGCAGTCCATTCACCTTTTCTTCGATTTGCCTCTTCTCTTGTACCCTTCAACTCCCATACCTAAAACTCTCTTCGCCACATTTTCCTCATCCCTCCGCATGACATGTCCATACCAAGATAACCTATTACTTCTTAACTTTTCATCCAGTGGCGCTACTTTCAGACTCCCTCGTATATACTCATTCCTAACCTTGTCCATCTGAGTCACACCACACATCCATCTCAGCATTCGCATTTCGGCTACGTTAAGGCATCTCTCATCCGTTCTCTTAATGGGCCAACTTTCAGAACCATACAGGACGGCAGGTCTGATAATAAATGCTTAAGCTTTTATATAGTTAAAAAAAACTTTTGAGAACATTATAAGTTCTTTCACAATGTATCTACATAACTCCGTTAACAATAGTTCTCACCGCAATGACACATGGTCGCAAACTAAACAACAGTACAGGAAAACTGTTAGGAATCCTTTGCAAACTGTACACATACCTATTCATTAAATGAATCTCTTTTAGGAAAAACCCATGTTTAATAAATACCTGCATTGCCTCAAAGCCACACAATTTTTACACATTTTATATGAAAGCGTTGATCTGAATGTACTATTTTTGAGTGTAATAGAATCTTTGAAATTCAATCTTCTTTAATTGAAGAAAACCATTTTTGGACGTAACTTTTTCTAAATAGAATAGCTTTATTGTAACGTTGGGTGTAGATAATGTACTAAAAACAAATGAAGTAAATTCTAAGGATATGTCATCAGATCACTCTCTTCATCAATCTTTCTTTCTGTTTATAAAGACAACTCCCGCATTAGTAATATATCCTGTGTCGCGGTGGACTTTACAAACATAAATGAAACGGACACAGAGAACACCCAGACTCAGAACAACAATTTGTGGATCACACAATGTGTCGTCCCATGTGGGGATCGGACCCACAACACTCAGCGTAGTAGTGAGCGGGGGTGGACTGGTTCGCGTCCGTAGGAAGGATACCTGAAGAAAACCCTACACGTGCCCCCCGGGTGGTGCTAAACGAACCTCAACGCCGGGTCTCGGGCGGCGGTTAAATAACCCGACAATACTGGCCTAACCAGTCAGACAACAGTGGGTGTTAGGAAATGAATACTCACGCCCGCAACCGCTACTCAGCGATCGGGAGTCTTGGCTTAATTGCCCGGGCTGAGAGGAAGAAAACCTCTATAAAACAATCACCCCAATTCCACGGTGGGACACGTGCCAATGGAATGCATGACTGGTGGAAGATCAGTATCGAGCGCCAACCTCGGCGGACATGGCAAACGTCGTTGAAGATCGCCTTCTTGGAGGAATGGGCGTCACCCTTCAAGTGACCTTTTATATCGACCCTACTCGTGGGAACAAAATGAGCATGAATAATGAAAAAGAAAACCAAAACAAGCCAAAGATGACACAACAAGTACTCCAAAAAAGCATGTTTGCACGTGTAAGGAGCCCCTCACTTGGAACTCTACCAATTGAAACACCAAATCAAACAATTCCAAAAGATAAGGTGCAAGAGGAATCGAATACATCTGATACGAATGATGTACAAGCTAAAAAAAATCAACCATGGCAAAACGATCAGGTGCCTATGAAAAGGAAAGCGGAATCTAGTCCTGAACGGACAAAGAATAATACTAAAGTGAATAAGACAACATATGCAGTAACAACAGAAAACAGATTCCAAATCTTAGAGTCAGCAACACACGACGAACCCAGTCAACAACCTAAGGAGCCTAAACCGCCAAAGCCAGAACCCATATTTGTCACGGGAGTTATAGACATAACGACATTAAAGAAACTCCTCTCCTCAATTGTAAATACCGACAAATATACTATGACAACTCTGAGGTCAGGACACATAGTTAAAATAATGCCTGGTGACGTAGACACGTATAAAAACATAAGAGCTAACTTTATAGAAAATAACGTTAGCCATTACACATACAAACTTAAAAGCGAAAGAGCCTACAGAGTAGTATTACGTGGTCTTCACTCATCAGAAGACACAGAACTAATTAAAAAAGAGCTCTTCGAACTTGGGCATGAAGTACGGCACATCACAAATGTACAACACAAAAACACAAAACAACCGCTACCCTTATTCTATGTAGACCTTGAGCCTAAACACAACAACAAAGAAATTTTTAAAATCAACAGAGTGAATTACGTAAAAGTCTCATTTGAAGCACCATACAAAAAGCTAGACATTTTGCAATGTAAAAGATGTCAAAGATTTGGACATGCAAAAAACCAGTGCAACAGACCATTCAGATGTGTAAAATGCGGAGAAGAACACTCAACAACAAGCTGTTTAAAAAGACCGGACACCGAGGCAACTTGTGCCAACTGCCAAGAAAAACATCCAGCAAGTTACAAAGGCTGCATAAAGTACAAACAATACAAAGACTTACTTTCGAAAAACAAGACAGGAAAGGGCAAAGAAAGAAATGGGAACACAAACAACATAACGCAAAATCAATACCGCAAAAACCCGACACAAACTGTACAAGAAAACCACCAAACTAAGAACTACAATCTCTTCAATCACTCGAAACCAAATATCACATATGCACAAGTGACAAAACAAGAAAACACAGCGGGATTAATAACCGATATCAAGAACCCAAATAATTTCGGGGAAGTTCTAGACGCCATGTTCAACAAATTTCAAAACATAATAAATATTATGTTAGACAACATGATGGATCGTATGATCCAATTATTCACAAGCCTTATAAAGCACCCCTAAACCTTAGAATAATCACCTGGAATGCCAACGGGCTGACAGAACGTCGCCAGGAACTTGAACTCTTCTTGAAACTTGAAAGAGTGGACGTGGCTTTAATCTCAGAAACAAGATTCACACCAAAAACTCATTTCCAACTTAAAAATTACATGGTGTATACTACAAACCACCCTTCTGGTAATTCACATGGAGGAACCGCAATCATAATAAAAGAAAACATCAAACATTATCTTTCTGGGGAAACCAAAACCGAAAAGATACAAGCAACTTCAGTCAGGATTCAGGATAATAAAACAGAAACAACAGTGTCTGCAATTTACTGCCCACCTAGGCATGTCATTACAAGAGATGAGTTCAAGACCTACTTCAACACACTAGGAAACAGATTTATTTGCGGTGGCGATTGGAACGCAAAACACGCTTTCTGGGGCTCGAGACTAACCTCGCCACGGGGACGACAACTTTATGTGGCTACGATCGACCTCAACCTTCATTGCGCTTCGCATGGTGTTCCTACATACTGGCCTGCGGACCCACAAAAGGTACCAGACCTATTGGACTTTTTCATAACCAAAAATATCCCGCTCAGACAAATGAACGTAGAAGAATGTACTGACCTGTCGTCAGACCATACACCAGTAATTGTCAACGTTCACTGTAAGGCTATTATAGTTGAGTATCAACAAAGACTGTATAACCGGACAACAGACTGGGACA